ACTGGAAACTTGGGATACCATTAGTAAGATGAATTCTGACTCGGTGGATGGTGTAGATGGTTTCACTACTAAATTTTTTCAAAAATCTTGGCTTATTATTAAAATTGATTTAATGGAAGCTGTTATTTATTTTTTTAAGGGTAACCCTTACCCTAAGTACTTTTCTAACACTTCTAATATTTTGATTCCCAAAAGAGACGCTATTAACTATTGGGATGATTTTAGGCCAATCAGTTTATGTTCTTTTTTTAATAAATTAATTGCTAAAATCATTATGGGGAGATTGTCTTTAATGTTGCATCAAATTATATCCCCTGGGAAAACTGGTTTTATTAAAGGGCGTGCTACCTTTAATAATATTTTTTTGGTTCAAGAGTTTATTCATGATATTCACAAACCTATTTCAGGTGGTAATATGGTTATTAAGATTGATATCACCAAAGCGTATGATAATCTTAACTGAGAATTTCTGTACACTATTCTAGATCTTTTTGGTTTCAATGAGATATTTATTAATTTGGTGAAGAATAGTATTAATAACTGCTTTTTTTCTGTTATCATTAATGGGAGTTCTCATGATTTCTTTTCTTCTTCGCATGGTGTGAGGCATGGCGACCCATGCCCTTTTTATAATTGCTATGGACAACCTTTCTAGAGCTTTGGAAATTTTGTATATGCTTCATCCGTCTATTAATTATGCTACTTATGGAGGTTTTCCTATCTCTCATCTTAGTTTTGCTGATGATTTTATTATTTTTATGAACTGTTCTATTAAAATGCTTTTAAAATGTTTGGAGCATTTTCAACTTCTAAGTGGTTTAACGATTAATAAGAGTAAAAGTGGCTTCATTACTAGTAAGTTGATCAGTTCCCAACGTATTGCTAGAATTCATGATAAATTTGGCATTTATTACTTAACTTTTCCTATCACTTATCTGGGTACTCCTATTTAAAAATGTAAGAGAAAGTCCAATCTTTTTTATGGTATCACTTTAACGTTAGGGAAAAAGCTTAATAATTGGGCTTTCAACTTCTTTCCTATAGTGGGAGGCTTGTTTTAATTAAAAGTGTGCTTTCTGCTTTGCCTATTTATCTATTTCACACCTTAAATCCTACTATTTTTTTGTGTAACAAGTTTAAAAAGATGTTGAACAAATGTTTTTGGGGCTCTAGAAATGGTAAAGGTAATATTCGTTGGGCTTCTTGGAAGAAATGTTGTGATTCCTTGAAGGAAGGGGGTTTGGGTTATAAGGAATTGGTGGATATAAGTAAAGCTTTTTCTTATAGACTTTGGTTTAACTTTAGATCTAAAAATAGCTTATGGGCTAAGTTTTTACCTAGTAAGTATTGTGGGTTTAACCATCCCACTATTTGTAGCCTAAAAAAGGGTGACTCTTCCATTTGGAAGAGGCTGTGTAACATAAAGGGGGAGATGGAGGAGTTCATTCAATGGGGTCTTGGCAATGGTGATGTGTTTTTTTGGCAAGATCAATGGCTGGATAATTATTCTATTGACAATTTACTTAACACTAGATCTATTTCTACTTTATTAGTTAAAAGTTTCTTTAGTAATGGGGTTTGGAATATTGATTTGTTAAAGGAGAATTTTTTTTTTCATTAATATCATTATTTATAGTCCTTTACATACTAATAAAGAGGATTATATTCTTTTTACTAAGTCACATAATAGTCAATTCACTACAGGAAAATCACTTATTACCGGCGAAATTTTTCGGCGGCTTTCCGGCGGTCAGTTTTCTGGCGGCTTACCGGCGGTTTTTGACGGCTTATTTCCTACAAAATTTTCCGGCGGCTTTCCGACGGATTACCGGCGGCTTTCCGACGGCTAATTTTCCTGCAAAATTTTGCCACGGCTAATTTCCCGCAAAATTTTCCCGCGGACTTTTCCGGCGGCTTTCCGACGGATTACCGACGGCTTTCCGGCGGTCACATTTCCGACGGCTTTTCCGGCGGCTTTTTAACGTTTCTGACGGCTTTTAAAAATTTAATAAAAAAATGAATAAAATTTTAAACATTTAAATGATTCAACAAAAAATTATTAAAAGTTAAAATAACTATTAACTTAATTTTCATCTTAAAATTAATTAGTTAGTTATTTTTTATTTTTTATTAAATATTATTTTTTATTTTAAATTAATTAGTTTTAATTTTTTATAATTAAAGTTTTTTTTTTATTTTCTGTGTGCAAGTAGTTTAAATAATAAATCGCCGGAAATAGGTGATTTTCCTGTAGTGATTTGCTTTGGAGGAAGCTTGGCATTCTATTAAAGAGAATAGACCTCATAACCCCTTTTTTCTGTTATTTGGCATAACTCAATACCCAGTTCTTTTGTTATTCTTATTTGGAGAGTGATATATAACTATATGCCTGTTGATAGTAATCTCAAGATAAAAGGCTTTCAGATTGTTTATAAGTGCTATTGCTGCCAGCATATTGAAACCCTCAACCATGTATTGACCCAATTGCGGTTAGAGTTTGGATTCATTTTGAAGATCTTTTTAATTTCAATTTCAATCATGATTTCAAGAGCATTATTGACATTTTTATGTGTTGGTTTGTTAATTCTAAAGGCCATATTAGTAATAACCTTACCATGACCATTATTTGGTACCTTTAGAAGAGTAAAAATGATGTTAAACATGATGGGACCAATATGAATGCCACTCGTATCATCTTTTTTATTTGTGATGAAATTAGAATGCTTTATGTGACTAATATCATAAAAACTAAGAATTTCAAAGGCTGTTACAAGGTGGCTCCTCACTTTGGCATTTCTAGTATTCCATCGTACAGAGATAAGAAGGATAGGATCATTACTTAGCTCAAATCGAATCCTGATTGGACCAAGCTTAACACTGATGGTTCTGACAATGGGAAAGTGGCTAGGTGTAGTGGTATCCTGAGAAATCACTATGGCAAGGTGATTAATTGTTTTGTTGGTCCTGTTGCTGGTAATTCTACTTTTATTGTTGAGTTACATGGTCTCAATTATGGCATCAATATCTGTATTAACTTAGGTTTTAACAAGGTTTGGATTGAGGTTGACCCTATGCTCATTTTACACTATATTAATAGTTCTAATATGTTTAATGCTGAGAACTTTTATCTGATTAGGTAGTTGAAGCAGTACCTTTCCAGCATTAATTAAAAGATCTTTCATATTTTTCATGAGGGTAATGGGTGCACTGATGCTTTGTCCAAAATGGGTTGCACCTATCCTGCTTTCTGTGATTTTAATGAAAATGATATTCCTGTTGTTGTTAAAGGCTTGGTTAATCTGGACCGTGGTGGTTTACCCTATATTAGACACCATTAAGTGGTGTTTTTCTGGTTATTTCTTTTTTATGCTTGTCACGGTTATCATTATGTGGGTTTGCTGAGCGGTTGGTATGGTTTTGAGGTAGATTGTTCTGATCCTTTCTTACTGCTTTGTCTTCTGGCAAAGTTGTTTTTCGTTTGTTGTTATTGTTTATTGGAGTTTATGGGAGCATGTTATTGTATCTGTTTGGGTTGTTGGGAATGAGTATGGGAAATTCTGGTCTAGGTGGTTGTCGTTTATTATGCAGTACTATATTTGTTATTTCAATCTCAGGTATATTGTCAGATGGACCCTTCAGTTTTGTGCCGTCCATCTTTCCAGTCTACTTGATGGGATTTGTAAGAAAGGCATGGTCATATTCGGCTGGTTCTTAATGTGCTTTCTTTCTCTTAATTATCATTGGCATGAGAGGTTTCATATTTCTTTGCTGTTTTGGAGGTTGTCTCTTTTGCAGGTGTGGAGTCAAATTTATGGTTCTTTTCATCCTGATAGGAAGCAGTTTAGGCGGAAAGCTCAAAGATTTTGGAGGTTTGGTTTTGAGTTTTGCAGGAGTTGTGTGCTTATTGCTTTTATTTTTCAATTTCTTTTTTGGGTGCTGCTATCTTACAGCCCTAGCATGTTATTAGGTTATTTTGTAATTGTTAGTATTAGAACCCACCGGCTTTTAGTTTTTTTTTATTGATTTTTTTTGTAGCTCTTGTGAGCATTAGCAAGCTGGAGGTTTCTATTAAGGACCTTGTAACCTTTTTTTTGATATTAACGCGTAGGCCCCTTTGTGGATTTTAACCCCAAAAAAAATTATGTATAGCTAGATCTTGTTTGGTAAAAGTAGTTCTTTCCCTTTTGCAGCTTATTTATTCAAAAACCTTCCTATATATAGCTGGGCACCCACTTCGTAACATGGGGAAATTCTTTAATAAAATTTTCCCATACTTTCCTGTTCCTCCCAATTCTCTGTACTTTCCTGTTCCTCCCAATTCTCGGAAGCAATGCTCTTGGTGATTTTAGCATAAAACATGTTGTTTAAAGCAACTCGATAAGAATGCTTCTTTGGTCAACTTAAATTTTTTAAAAAATTGATTCAAATGCTAATGACTCAGGATTTATTTGTGACAGCTTTTTTAATACTTCTTAAAATAACTTTTTAGTTCAACAAATAAATTTTTTATAATATAAAAATGCTTCAAAAAACAGTAAGAAAATAGCCCAAACAAATCCTCAGTAAACTGGCATCATGTTAGCAAAACGCCTTGGTCTGACTTCACCAACGTCAATAAGTGTAGTACAGCGATTTTCTAGAAAGCTGTACTCCAGTGGCGAATAGTTCTAAGAAGAAATTTCCTTGCAGTTTCATTAAGAAAAGTTAAAGCTTCTGTATAGTTTAGCCAAAAGAACAAGGGCAGATTCTGCCCCTCCCTTCCTTGAGTATTTACACGCCGTAATATTTCTGCTACTTGGATACACTAAAACTTCAGTTAACGCGAAAAAAGACGAAGACTTGATCCACTTACAAAGTCAGGCCGACCAATATCCAAAATAATAGAAAATTTAAGTGTTCAACCATACGTAGTATGATAACGAAAAATGATAAAAAAAATGTTTCTTAAACGATAAAAATTATAAAATATGATTGGCGAAACGGTGAAATTAATTATTTAATTTCCAGCATGAACAAAGGGTTATATGGGTAAAGGAGGAAGCTTCGCCGAGCTTGAAGCTACTTCAATGTTCTGCTATAAAAAGAACCACACTGAACTGAACTTTTTTTTTTGCCAAGATGCCTTCGACTGGAGAGCCCTCTTCCCCGTCGTTTCACCAGCTACGGTCAGCCAAAAGACAGGTTCGCCCTCTTATTTTTTCGATTTTAAGGTGGCTGATGTGATGAATTATTCTGTGCAGAATTTGGTCCTGACTGACATGTGAGTGTATACAATGCATATATATTATATACATATTATGTCCGAACTCAACACACTGATTTATTTGATTACATATATGTAGGAGTGGCTAAGAAATGATTTTTTTGTTATAGAGACACAATTGTAAATTTTAATGATGTTCTTATTTTTTTTCATCTCACCTTTTTTTTTTTGAAATATCTCTTTATAACATAAAATAAATAAGAAAAATATTATAGCGATCTATAAATAAATAAAAAATAGAGATGTAATTTAACAATATGATAATATATTCTAAAAAATATTTTGCTATCCAAATTCGAATGTATTAACTTATTTAAATAGATGTTTGAGATCCTTACCTTAAAACGTACACAGTTATATTTTATCATGTTCTTTTCCTTAAATTTTTTGTCGGAAAAAAATTAGTGATTTAAAAAAAAATCATAATTTGTATAAAGAAAATCATCTTATCGATTAAAAATTATTTTGACTTATTAATAATCAAATTTTTATGCATTAAAAATAGTCATGCAAATTTTAATTTTGTTCAGTATACAAATAATTATTAAACTAAATTAGATTAGATTATCTTAAACTTATTAGTCATAATAACTAACATAAGAAATCTTTATTTTATTAAACTAATTTTAGTCATAATGATCAGTCTCTATCAAAAAAGTAATAAGAAAAAGAACAAATGTTTTATATATCAGTTTGATGAGGGAATGGAAAAAACTGAACTATGACTTGAAACTTATTTTTTAATCTTAGAAATCACAATTCCGTGTACAGAACTACCATAACTGTTCGGGAAAAATTAAGTACAGATGTAAAGGAAATGAAAGGGAGAATAATAGATTAAGCAGTTAAAGCGAAAATAAACTAATTTCTTGAAAATATTTCCTAAAGTTCTGTGGCCCCTGCTCCTCTACTCCCCACTCTTTTATTTAGATTAAAGCTTATTTTTTCTCTATTTTTAAGGAAAATTTATGCTAAAAAAAAAGCTTTACAAAGCAATAAAAAATAATGCCAAATGAAGCTGTAAACTACTAGCAGTGGGTAGAGATAGAGAGATTAGAAGAGAGATAAATACTACCAGAGAGGGAGAGGACCCACGCTAATTGAATGCCGCCATGACTTGAGGGGATCGGCAAGGAATTCTTAATCACTTGGAAGAACACCTCATCACAAGCAATCCCTTCCAATTGCGCATATCCTTTTTGCAAAAACCTAGCCTTGCACTGCACATCAGCTACATGAGATCCTTCCTTCTTTGTACGTATCCAATAGCTTTTCATCCTAGAGGAAGCTTCACCAACCCTCAGTGGCATTCTTCTATAGAGACTCTATCTCTTCATCCATAGCCCTCTTCCAAAGACCACAAATAAGGACTGTCCACTGCTTTCTTCTTGTGAATAGGAACTTGAGTCTCTTTGGCTGAAAGTGCAAATGCAATGTGATCCCTCAACTAAGCTGATTTTGGGACATTTTGGGGCCTGAACCTATTCTTTGCAATAGATTTCTAAGTAGGAATATCAATACCATCTTCTACCTCTTGATCTGCAACTGAATTAGGTACCTGGGTAGAAATGATATGCCTCTATAGAGCAAATGAAGCTGCATCAAACTCCAACTTCTACAATGTATTTGTGTTTCAAGGGGAACTCTCCACCTGCCTAGGGTCCTGAGACTTAAACATGCTAGCCTCGTTAAAAGTAACATCCTTGCTAATGATAATCATCATCTCTACCAGATCATAGAGTTTGAAGTCCTTGACTCCATGCCTAAAGCCAACAAAATTTACATTATTTTCCCTTGGTTCCAGTTTATATTTTTTATCATGATAATAAGCTAGACACCCAAACACTCTTAAGTGCTTATAATCTCTAATAGGTTGGCCTGATCACATCTCCTTTTGGGTCTTCATCTTCCCAATAGTTGTAGAAGGTAAACAATTCACCAAGTGAATGGCATAATTTATTGCTTCAGTCCAATAGACTCTATCCAACCCAACATCAGATAATATACACCAAACTTTCTCCACCAAAACCCAATTTATTCTCTCTGCCACCCTGTTCTACTACAGTGTCTCTCTAATAGTAAAGTGATTCTCTATACCAATTTTTTTGCACTTCTTTAAGAATGAATATGAAGTGTATTCTCCCCAATTATCTGATCAGATACACCAATTTTCTTTGGCAGTCTGAGTCTCAGATCTACTTCTTTCAAGTTCTGAAAATCTTCAGAACCTTATACTTGAACCTCATAATGTACACCCAAATATATCTAAAGTAATTATCAACTAAAGAGACAAAAGTATCGCTCCCCTCGAATGTTGCTGTCTTCGTTGGGCCCCAAACATTTGTATGAACATACTATAGGGTATCCTTCATATTGTAGACAAAAGTGCCAAAGGATACACATATCTTCTTGCCAAATACACAATATTCACAACGATCAAGCTTGTAGGTGCTTGCTTCTTTAATCAATCCATACTTCACCAAAGTTATAAGATAAGCCTCTCCAATATGATCTAGCTGCATATACCACAATGTAGTGGCATTAAAACAATCACCAGCAACACCAACTGATCCAATCACTAATCTTCCTTGAAGGTAGTAAAGGTTGTGGTGGCAAAATTCTTTCACATAAATTAGTGCTTTGTGAAATATCTTTAGAACTCTTACATTAATGACTATCATGTAACCCTTGGTCTCTAAAATCCTAATAGATAGCAAATTATTACTAATATCTAAAAAATGGCTTACATTAATTATCTCTCATGTAGTACCATCATGTTTTCTGATGAAGATACTCCTTACACCAACTATATGATAAGCTTAATCATTTTTCATGGTCACCTGACCACTATTAAGCTCTCAGTAGGTATTGAACCACTCCCTAGTGGGACAAATGTTATCAGTAGCAATAATGTTTAGAATTCAGCATGAACCATCTAAATACAAACTCTAAGCAACTGCAGATAGTGATAAACTGCAGATAGTGATATATATGAATCTTCATCACGCTCTTCCATGCTAAGGTTAGCCTTAGTGGACACTCAATTTCCCTTCTCCTTCAACTTTGGATAATATTTATTTTAAAGACTAGCCTCTAAGCAGAAAACACATTGATTCTTCCTAAGACAACGCCTATGATATCTGCCCTGCTTGTTGCACCCTTTTTCTTCTTCTGAGATCTTCCTTGTTGGAGTCTGAGAGCTGGCCTCAGCTGAATCTTTCTTTGCAGACTCCTTGTCCCGACTTTTGAACTCATGATTCAGTAATGCAGTAGTCACCTCACCATAGTTCAATACATTGCACCCATGAATGAGCATCATCGTGAAGTTTTTAAACTCATTCGGGAGTGAATTTAGTAGAAGGAAAGTCTTGTCTTCATCACCAACATCTTAATCCAAATTCCAATGATCTGCCAATGTCTTTATGAAGTCATTCAAATGCTCATAACTTGTAATCACATGACTCATTTGAAACCTATAGAGCCACTGTTTCATATGGAGATGATTCTCCACACTCTTCGACAGATACTTGTTCTCCATGCATAACTTTTCATAGCTTCACAGCAGAAGTCTCCATCATCACCCCATACTTGATCTAGTGTGATGAAGCAACAGAGAAATTATTAGGTACGGAGTGCGGACGGGAGAACCGTTTGCACACTAGTATAAAACAGTGTTCGGTACCGTTCGGTACCACTCGGTACCGCTGGGTACCGTTCGGTACTCTGTGTCTGTACAGACGATTCTCACCCTGTCCGCACTCCGCAGCTAATAATTTAAGCACCCCAGTTCATCTTAAGCCAATCCCTTTCAAAAATCTCTTCAGTATATTCATTGCCATCAAGAACATCCTCTAGATTCAAAGAGCACGACACATCAATCACCTTACATCGCCACATGACAAAATTTTATTTCCCTCCAAATTTCGGCACATCAATTTTGACGGGATGTGTAACCAACTAATGAATCGACACCTTCTCCACCGACGAAGTGGATGTATCAAACTCCACCATATCTCATCGTTTTCATTAAATTGTAAATTCCTCACGACATCGGAACTGAACCAATCCAACTAAGAAGCAATCTGGAAATAATAAACAATCTTTGTTTGTTCTATCTGACCAGAGTATGCCTCAAATAATTGCTCCCATTCTTCAAGTTGCCACCGTAAATTCAACTGAAGAACATAAAAAAAATTTACGGTGGCAATTTGAAGAATGAGATGCAAGATAATATAATACAGAAGAACATTTTCTTTAAGAAACAATTCATTTAATGTTCATGAGAACATTAGTTATACAAACTGTTTGCGTTCATTCATTTTATACACTTTATTATTCTATTTTGATAAAAAAAAATGAAAACTTCATTTATTTTAACAATTCCATTATTTTTTGCGACAGAAACTTATAACAGTGGAGGAGAGCAGTAGCAGTGCTTCCGTCAATAAGCAAAGCGATCATATTGAAGGAAAAAGCCAAGTGACCGATAGAGTTATCCAAGGTGCTTTGGGACAAGATGGTAAGACCAAATTATCTGGAAATTGAAATAAAATATTATAGTTTTTTTAATATGATGTAAATATCTCAATTCTAAAGTACAATAGGCTAGTAGGAAATTCAGGGGGCTGATTTTAGTGGAGGGATAGGTGATTAGATATAATATATTGCAAATATAAAATTTAAGATAAAATTTTTAAAGATTTTGTTTGGAATACTTTTATTAGTATTTTTTAAAACAATAATAAAATTATCTCAAACAAAACATAAACTTCCACCAATCCTATTCAAAAATCTAAGACCGGTCACTTATTTCTGTCAAAAATATTTATCTTTTAAAAATTATAGTTAATCTGTATTTTAATTGTTATGCTGTTAATGAAAATAAAGATAAACAATATGAAAAGAAAATTTATTTAATTAAGCCAAATGGTAATTTAACAGTTAATATTCTTTATTTTTAAGGTGATAGACGAGAAGATATTGGCCCTAACGGATCAACACTTGCTTTTAGCGATTCGGGAGATCAAGTTCATGAGGTACATTGATGGTTATTGTTTCTTTCTTTTTAAAAATAGATTCCTAAATGCATATATATGAAATAAGATTGATATATATATATATATATATATATATAT